TTTTAAATAAAATTTTATTTTAATTATGATTTTAATGAACATTTACAGAGAAGTATTTTAATTCACTCATTGTTGCACATTTTACCATTTCCTCCTCCCGCAGTTCAGTTAAAAAAAATCATTCATTGTACAATTACCTACCTACCCCCACATTTCCCCAGTCCTCTTTGCAACGCAATACCTCTTATTCTGGGATGTTGCTGTACACATAATACCTAAACTCAAGATTAATATTAATGGAAGTAGAGTGCTACATTTTTCTCAGAGAAACTGGTAGATTCAAACTGCTGATCAAATGTTTTATCTTTTCACCACCATGCATATGTACAAGTACATATATTGGTACCTTATAAATATGAATTCATATGATCTTCTGACTAAAAGCTGTAATCCTCTCAATGAACTGAACTAAATGACACCCACATCTACTCAATCTCTCCAGTGGAGCTGTGTGCCAACCTAACAGCATGCAGTTCAAATCCTCCAGTCGCTCTGCAGAATAAAGATTGACAATCAGTTCCCTGCAATTTACTGCCTCTCACAACCAGCTGGGGGGTCAGCTATGGGTTGATTTGATTTGATGGTACTTAACAACAGCATACCCATAGATTTCAATAACTTAAGAGACCCAAAACTCACTGTTGCCAGGTCAGAACTGATTCATAGCTAACCCTCCCTTGGGTTACTGAGGGTGTAAATTGCAAAGGAGGAGATTGTCCATCTTTTTACTGTGGAGTGACTGGTAGATTTAAACCTCCAGAGAGGTATGACCTTTGAGTTAGTGCCCAATTCTTTATAGATTATCTACAGCTCTCTCGAAGGGACAAAACAACTGTAGTAAATAGAAATACAATAAACATAAAATTTAAATATTATTTAGATGATGTATGGAAAAATTATTATTGAACTTTATTTAACCTGAATGAAATAGGCAATTAAATATGGAGGATAAGAAGGCCTTAACTGGTTTGGTTTTTTTATTATTATTACATTTTATTAATTTTCATGAACATTTACAGAGATTTTGGGTTTCCATTCATTCATTGTTGCACTAGTTTCTCTCCCCTCCCCTCCAGTTCGTTCCTCTTTTTTCTATTAATTGTTGTCTTTAAACACTTTAAGAGGTTTATTATTTAGAGGGTTTTTTATTTAAAGAGGGTTTTTTTTATCAAATCAACTAGGGAATTTCAGAAGTTCCCATATGGTTAATAAAAACGTATAACTTCTGATAATGCAGAAAAGAATTCAGCTGTTCACAAATCTATTACTGTTGAGCAACTTCATCATAAAACAATAGGTTGAAAGGTAAAGAAGTGTGTTTAGTAAGAAGTTAAAAAATTATGTAATGACTGTCTGATATATTTGCTTGTGTAATGGAAGAGATAAGGGTCAGGTGAAACAGTGATTTTACTTACCTGTGTAGCGTTTGTTCCCCCAGTATTGGTATGGCACCCAAGGACTTGATCACATGGCCAAGTACATATACCAAGGAAAGATAGATGATCGTCCTGTTAAGAGAGATAAATCACTCAGTGTACAGACAGACTTTGGAAGCACGAGTAGTACAGACTCATACTGATATCGAGTTAATACTCTGTCGGCATCAAGATCACCGGAAGTAGAGGAAGAAGGGAGGAAGAATAATAGAATTACCTGAAAAATACAAACGGAAATAATATTAGTGAATCAGCACAGGTTGACCCTGTTATCTAAAAGAATAGTCTTATAAAACTTTTTGTGAGACGAAACACCATACAACAAAGACACAGTCAACACCCATTTATAGGAGAAAGGAAGCTCTGGTGATATAGTTCATAGACAGTAGTGCTACTAACTCAAAGGGCACCTCTCTCACAGTTCAAATCCACCAGCTGCTCCAAGGGAGAAAGATGGGCAACATCCTCCTCCCATGCGATTTACAGCCTCCAAAAACCCACTGGAGGGTCGACAGCAATGAGTGAGTTATATGAGGGAAAAAAAGTGTGCGTTTTCAAACATCCTCAAAAAAATAATCCAAATCATAACAAATAATAAATAAAATATAAAGTAGGATTAACATATAATGAGTGTAGAGATGAAATGTTAAACACATAACCTCTATGAAGTAGAAATAACTTTATACACAGTGTAGCTCCTGAGGAAAGAGCTAGGCAGTGCCACTCTTGCTGCTTTAGTTACTGCTGCAAAACACACAATGAATGCTAATTTTATTTTTTGCCTTTATTCTGTAAGAGCTCTTCAAAGTTCTTTGTTGTTGTTGTTGTTGTTATATGCCATTGAGGCACCTGCGACTCATAGCAATCCTATGTACAACAGTCCTAAACCCTGCTCTATTCCATGCCAATCTTATTGTCTCCAACACACCTACCCCCATGACCCCAGTCACTGAATGAATCCACCTCATAGAAGGTCTTCCTTTACTGTGCTGTCCCTCCACCCTCCCAAGCATGACATCCCTCTCTGCCAAGGACTCATCCCACCTTGCAACATGTCCAAAGTATGTAAGATGAAGCTTAAGAATGTTTGCCTCCAAGGAGCAGCCTGCCTTCACCCTCTCCAGAATGAACTTGTTTGTTCTCCTAGCAATCCATGGTATATTCAACACTCTTCTCCAGGTCCATAGCTTAGAGGCATCAATTCTCCTTCTATCATCCCTAGTCATTATCCAGCTTTCTGATGCATAACAAACAAATTTGTTTTACAAGGGCTCTCAGGAATCTCCTTAGAGGTAAGGATTGTAAGATTTTTGTCTTTTCTGGGCATGTTGTCAGTAGTAATCAATCAGTCTTTGTAGAAGGACATAATTCTTGCAAAAGTAGAAGGTTAATGAAGAAGAAGAGTTCCAAAGCAATAGACTGATACAATGACTGTAAATATGGGCTTAAGCAGAAGAGATTATAAGGATGGTACAGAATCAATAAAGTTTTGATCTTTTGAATATACGGTTGCTGTAAATCAGAGTGAACTAAATGATATCTGATAAGAGCAACATACTGAACTTTAATACAAACAATCTATGGTCTGTTACACAGGAAGTCCCTGGTTTTGTTCTGGATAGTGATACTGAGCATTTCCATTACAGTACATCAACATAGAAATACCCGAAATTCAAGTTGCATTCAAAAGAGGCTGTGGTAGCGTCCCTTTTCAGCAGGAAGTAGCTAAGAGAATACACCATCCCCTTTTCCTTATGACTCAGGGTGAAGTCTCTCTCAGGGAGGAGTGACAGGGAATGGCAAAAGACACACTGACAAAGAAGATTAATCAGAACTGGCTTTGACAAGCACTGTGGCATTTGGACAAGAACAAACTGGGAGGAGGGTAGAGAGAATAGTGCAACAATGAATGAGTGGAAACCCAAAATCTCTGTAAATGTTTATGAAAATTAATAAAATATAGAAAAAAAAGAGGCTGTGGTATGAGGGATACCATTGCTGATGTCAGATGGATCTTAGCCGAAAGTAAAGAATACCAGAAAGATGTTTTCTTGTGTTTTAGTGACTATGCTAAGGCATTTGACTGTGTGGATAATAACAAATTATGGTTAACAGTGAGAAGAATGAGAATCCCCAAACACTTAATTGAGCTCATGGGAAACTTATACATAGACCAAGAACTTGTTCTCCAGAGTAAGGGAACACCACATGGTTTAAAATCAGGAAATGTGTGCAATGGGGGTTTCTCTTTCTCCCAAATATGCATGCTGAACAAATAATTCCAAAAATTGGACTATATGAAGAGAAATGAGGCATCAAGATTGGAGGAAAATTGATCAACAACCTGTGTTATGTAGATTACACAGCCCTGTTTGCAGAAAGTGAAGAAGACTCAAAGTACATACTGTACAAGACCAAAGAATAAGTCTTCAATATGATTACATCTCAGCACCAAGAAAATCCTTTACCACTGGACCAATAGGCAATATTATTATAGATGAAAAAAGATTGAAATTGTCAACAACTTCATTAAATTGGATCCATAATCAACACCCATGGTAGTAGCAGTAAAGAAATACAAAGATCCTTTGCATTGGGAAACTCTGCTGTCAAAACCCCTCTAAAATATTAAAAAGTGAGGATGTCAGTTTAAATACTACAGTGCATCTGATCCAAGCAATACAATTTTTCATTGCTTCCAGAGCACCTTGAAGTTGGACGATGAATAAGAAGACCAAAGAAAAATCAATACCTTTGAAGTGTGGTCTTGGTGAAGAGTTTTGATTATGCTACAGATCAGCAAAAGGACAAACAAATCTGTCCCGAAGTACAACCAGTGTGCTTCTTAGAGGCAAGGATGGTGAAACTTCACCTCATATGCTTTAGACATGTTGTCAGGAGGCACCAATCCTTGGAAAAGGACATCATGCTGGGAAATGTGGAGGGTCAGAGAAAGAGAAGGCAATCGTCCACAGGATGGGTGATGCAGTGACTATACAACTGGATCGAGCATGGTGGAGAATGTGAGGGTGGCGTAAGATAGGACAATGACCAGGTTTGTTGTTCACAGGTTCATTATGGTCATAGTCAACTGGATGGCAAAAATAACAACAGCAACAACAATAGATTTTGTTCCTGTGTATTCCATTCAATGAGAACAAGAGTACAAACCTGCAGTTTATATTGTTAAAAAAGAGAATCCCAATAAATATTTGGTTATACATATTTTTATTGTGTAATTTCCAGTCTCATTTCTATCACCACGGTATTTTCCAACCACTGCTACTTCTTCAGTTACAACTTTTTGTATTCCAACTACCAGAAATTATCAATGCCTCTTAACTGCATGTTTGATCAATTACAGTCTGCATCAATTGGTATAAACCATTAGTTTGTTTTTTTCCCATCTTTGGCACTAGTTGTTGGTGTGTAAATAATAGTAACATTAGCAAATATTCTTTGCATGTATGCAGATATTTTCTTATAACTGACAGTGTTGTATCTCAGGATAGATCTTGAAATGTTAACGTGACACTATTCTTCAAATATGCTCTTCTTGTCAAACTAGACCATATGAATGTCTGGTTCAAAGTGGCCAATACCAGAAGACTAAGCCGTTCTGAAGGGATTGGTGAAAATGAGGCTCCAGAAACTGACAGAATTTTCTATGGAGACAATACAATCTTGCTTGCTGAAAGCAAAGAGGATTAGAAGTCCCTACTGACGCAGATCGAAGACTCCAGCCTTCTGTATGAATTACACTTCAATATAAAGAAAACAAAATCATCACCAATAAGCAACATGAACACAAATTTGAAAGTTTTAGATATTTTCATTTTACTTGAATCCACAAAAACATCCAAGGAACAACAATGAATGAATATTTTTTTTTTTAAAGCAGACTGGGTGTGGGTAGGGAGGAGAATGCACAAGAATGAATGAATGCGTGAAAATCCTACTTTTCTGTAAACTTTCATTAAAATCACAATTTAAAAAAAAAACCCATAGGAAAAAAACACATCCATGGAAACAGCAGTCATGAATTGAATGGCTATATTGCATTGGGCAAATCTATAGCAAAAGGCTTCTTTAAAGAGTTAAAAAGCAAAGATGTCAATTTGAGGACTAAGGTTGACCTGATCCAAGTCATGACTTTTTCAATTAACAGTCAAATTCTTAACCACTGTGACACCAAGCCTCCTTAAGAAATTTCTCAAATTCAAACTCAAAATCCAACTCAAATTCAAACTCAACCTCAGAATCCAGCTGATTCTGGCCTACGGCAACGGTGCAGGACTTAGTAGAAACTCTCCTTGCATTTCCAAGGCTATGAATCTTTATTAAAGTAGATTGTGGATTCCAATCACTGACCCTGCAGTCAACAGTCCATTGTTTAATTCACCTCACCACCACAGATGCTAATTAATCTGTGCTGTAACTTTCCTGCGTCATTCAGTCAGAACTGACTCATAACTGACTCCTTAGTGGGTTTTCAAAGGCAGTAAATCACATGGGAGGAGACGGCCCATCTTCTTCCTGGTACAGTGAGCACCTGGTGAATTTGAGCCACCTACCTTTGGATTGTATTGCAACCCTTTACTCATTAGGTCACCATAATAACCTGTATACCCTCTGAAATCAGAACATAAATTGGCTTTAAGCTACAGTAGAGAAAACAAACATGACATATGAAAAGGATAAATACCTGCTAACTGGAAAAGTTGTGGAAACTTTGGAAACACCTATCAGGATTAGAACTAGTTCTTCCATATATGTTTAGTTATAGATAAGCTATGTATATTCTTGCTTGAAGGTAAAAAGTTAGAAACATTAGATTGAACATTTCTGATTGTATTTGGAAGTCTCTTTATACCTTGACTAGCACTTCTAAGCTTGATCTCAGTTTGTCTCTTATGAATTTTATTGTTCTGGGCTTTACCCCCCAGATCTCTCTCTGATCGACTTTGAGTTGATTTTTGTGTATGGTGTGAGATGTGGATCCTGCTTCAGCTTTCTGTGGGTGGAAGTCCAGTTTTGCCAGCACAATTTGTTGAGAAGGTTATCATTTCCCCATTTGATAGCTTTGATTTCCTTGTCGAATATCAGTTGACCATAGATAGCTGGTCTATTTCTGGGTTCTCAGTTCTGTTCCATTGGTCAATGTGCCTGCCATTGTAACAGTACCACACTATTTTGGTAACTACTGCTGTGTAGTAGGTTTTGAGGTCAGGGAGTGCTTTGCCCCAACCCCATTTTTTTGTTTCTCAGCAGTATTTTATTTGGAGTCTCTTGCCTCTCCAAATAAATTTGATAATTTCTCTTTCAATCTCCTTGAAAAATGAATTTGGTATCTGGATTGGGATTGCATTGAACACGTAGATTGTTTTTGGTAGGATTGTCATTTTCACTATATTGAGTCTTCCTATTCATGAACAGGGCACATTTTTCAATTTCTTTAGGTCTTTTATTGTGTCTTGCAGAATGAATCTGTAATTTTCTTTGTATAGCACTTTTTTATCTCTAGGTTGGTTCAGTCACAAGTATCTCAATTTGTGGTTGGCTATTGTAAATGTATTGCTTTCTTGGTTTCCTTCTAAGTTCTGTTTGTTACTACAGAAGAATCTGATTTTTGGATATTGATCTATATCCTGCCACTTTATTAAATTGGCCTACTAACTCTAACAGTTTTTTTTTTTTTGAGTCTTTGGGGTTTTCTATGTACACTGTCATATCATCTGCATATAGTGACAGTTTAACCTTCTCTTTGCCTATCTGGATGACTTTTATTTCCTTCTCTTGTCATATTGTCCTAGCAAGCATTTCCAATACAATATTGACAAGAAGTGGTAACAGTGGGCATCCTTGTCTGGTCCCTGTTTGCAAGGAAAATGTTTTTAGTCTTTCTCCTTTGAGAATGATATTGGATCTTGGTTTTGCATATATACTGTTCATTATGTTGAAGAAATTCCCTTCTATTTCAATTTTGCTGAGTGTCTTTATCAGGAAGGGGTGTTGGTTTTTGTCAAAGGCATTTTCTGCATCAATTGCTAAGATCATGGTGGATTAATCATGGGGTTGTACAATTTGATGGGGAGGGCGAGGGAAAAGGAAGGAATATGTTCTTGAAAACAATGTATTCAAATTTTGTAAATAAACTAGTAGAAAATTTTTTTAAAAAAAAGAAAAGAAAAGAAAGAAAGAGGATATTGGTTAGCTAGGAAGCTGGCCAGGAACAAAGGGTTGCATTTTGTCCTGCCACTTCCTTACCAGGGTTACCTGGAGAGCAGGCCTTTGTGCATGGGGTGGGCACAGCACTGCTTACCAGCAAGCCATGAAAATGTGCCTCTCACTGACTTGAAAAACATAAAATAAATCCTGCCATCCTTGAAAAGAAAATCAGTTAGAAACAAAAGCAAATATCTGCAAAACTCCTAAGCATATGACCAGCCATCTTTCTTACTTGAATTTTCCCAGCCACGAGTCCGCAATGGCTGCACCCAGGATGGGAGTGAAGTAGCAGAGGCTGCTGAAGGCATGATATACAGATGTGGAAGTATCTTCATTCCAGTGTAGAAAGTACAGGAAATACAGGGTCAGCACAGCTGTGATAAAAAAAAAGGGTGGGGGAAGGAGGAGACATCAAAGAGAAATGCATTTGTACTCTGGTACTCTAGGTCTTCAGCACTGTTTTCTAGTGATATTGTCATTGAGTTTGAACCGACTTCATGTTAACCTTCCAACAGGTTTTTCAATGTTGTAAACTACACAGGAGGAGATTGCCCATCTTTGGTTTAGCAGCACAATTCCCTATGGGCTATGCTTCCAGAGCCCCCAGTTAGTGATATGACCACCAAGGAAATAGCAACAGAGTCTGTGGTAGTTATGACACTGAGTGGAGGTAAGTGTGCAAATACAATATTTCTCTTTCTAGGCTATACATTGTCCGTAGCATCATTGAGGGCAGCTTTGAAGAAAACATGGTTTTTCTAACACCTCTTTATTCTTTACCTTTCAAACAATAAATGATTCAAAGGCATGAGGGACAACTACAATGAATGGCACTTGGTAACAAGAGCTTTCCCACCTTATCCTTAGAGATTGCATTCTGGTTGCTATTAGGCCTTTCTGTTCTTGGTCAATAGGAGTTACTAAAGGAATTTCATGACACCTTTATTTGAAGTTGTCTCTAAAGGAAGAGATAAATTTGGGCTAAGATGGGAAGAATAGATAGAGCTTAGCCTCAACGAAGAAGCTAGGATCTTATATGAGCAGGAGTGAATGGCAAAGAGCAGGACTCTGGGACACCAAGATTACCTTTCATGCCATAATAGGAAAAGCGTTCACAGAACTCGTTCACCACAATGAAGGCAATGCTCAGTGGATAGTTGGTGCCACAGATTTTCTATGAAACAAAAAAATTCACTCATGAGTCATACTTAAAGTCACTAGATTGATTCACAAGGGAAAAAAACCCCAATCGTTTTTCTTATCCTAAAGAGAAATACTGTAGGAGTTCCTCATGAAACACTTATCAAGTGTTGCTTGAATTGCTGGTTGAGGTGTAAGTGAAGTTAATCTTACTACTGCTTTGTTCCTCCCTCAGTTAAAATAAAATTGCTCAGACATTCTTTAATGTTAGATACAGGGCCTGTTCATTTTCTCACAACTAATAAATAAAATGTCTGAGGCTCTGGGCAGAAGTATTTCTTTCTAGGAACAAGGTGGAGATAGTATATGGAGTGTCTGTGGTACCATGGAAGATTCCTCTTTTTCATATATTT